CTGCTGGCCGCCGAGGGCCTCTACGACCGCCTGTGCGACGCCCGCAGCATCAACTGCTGCGTCGGCCTGTGCCTGGTGCCGGGCAAGTTGCAGAAGCAGCGCAGCACCATCATCAAGAGCAGCCGCCACCCCGTCTTCAATGAGGACTTCTTCTTCGACGGCCTGGGGCCCGCCAGCGTGCGCAAGCTGGCCCTCCGGATCAAGGTGGTGAACAAAGGCAGCAGCCTCAAGCGGGACACGCTGCTTGGGGAGAAGGAGCTGCCGCTCACCTCTCTGCTCCCCTGCCTGTGAAGGGCTGCGGCGCCCACGCCCACGTGCGGGGAGACCCCGCCCCGACCGGAAGGGAGCCTCGGGGTAGGTGGCCTTCACCTCAGGCTGGGCGGGGCCCTGATGCTGCAGCCTGTGGTGGGGTGACCATCTGTCCAGGGGAGAAGAAGGTGGGCTCTGGGGAAAAGAAAGCCCACTCTGCAGGCTGCGCCCCCCTGGGCCCCAAGTTCCATGCCCCCACCTCCGCCTCCCACCTTTAGGCGTTCTGGAACCTGGGCCAGAAAGCAGCTGAGGCACCTCACAGACCCCGAGGCTGCCGGTCCTGAGGCCCAGCGGAATCGGCTCCTTGCTGTGGGAGTGTCCTCCTCCCCCCAGGAGAAGTGCCAGGCCCAGGTTCCACCAGGGGACCCCATGGGGCTGCGGGAGGACCCCCAGCTGGGTTAGGCTGGCTCTGGGCAGCCCTCGGTCCTCTCAGGTTCCAGAGGCAAGAGCCAATCAGAAGGCGGAGAGCCACTTCCTGGCAGACAGGCAGCAGTGGACATAGCGCCAGAATATGAAAATGGGGGGATGGCTCCTTCTGTCCCGCCTGTTGGCTGTTTTCCTCCACCACCTTCTCTGCTCCGGACCCTGCGGCCATGTGGGAGTGACTGCCGCCTCCTTTCCTTGGAAGGGGTCGCTCAGAAGGTGCCCAGAGCACAGTGCCAGCTCGTGTCCCCTGCTCCTCCCTCTCCCCTGCGGCTAGAGGTGCTGCCCCTGCCTCCCTGAGCGGCGACCTCGGCAGCCGGACCCCAGGAAGTGATACTTGTGACCGGTGGCCTTGGCTGTTACTCCCTTGCATGTACATAGGTTGTGGTTAGGGTGGGGGCGGACAGAAGGACAAAGGGGTGGGGTGGGGAGACTGTGCTTGTGGCTTTTCATACTGCTAAAGGCAGCTGCATGGGTTTAATTGTTGCGTCAGTACATGGGTCCTTGGATGATTTTTGTGGAGGTTTCCAGCTCAACAGAACAGAAATGATACACTTTGAAGCAGGGGCCAGGCAAGGCCAGCTCTGTCCCTTGGCCTCCCCTGGGTGGACCAGGGCAGTCTTTGGGGATCCTGGGGTGCCCCTCTCAGCCCAAACATTGTCCCTCCTGACTGGGTTTCCAGAGCACACCAGGGGAGAGGTGAAAGAGCGTATTTCACCCCCCAGAGCCGGGGTGGGGGTAGGTGGGGGGAAGAATGTGTTCCTTTCTGTACATCTGCACATACCAGTGCACGCCTGAGACTCATAATGGGGGCCCTTGGCGCTGGGGTCTCTTGCTGTGCCCCCTCCAGCCTCTGCCCTGGGCCTGCTCCCTCATGCACCCTGCTCTTGGGGTCATAGGGCCTCCTCCTTCTCTCCGGAACCTGGGGACCACTCTGGGCTGGGTCTGTGGGTGGAGGAGGCAGACAGAGCATGGAGTTAGATGCTTGGAGCTCATACCTCCCTCCTCTCTGCCCCTGAACTCTCCCGCCCCTGGTTTCCCTCTGGAGACCCCCATCTTTATGCTCCTGCACTGATATCTTTGTGTTTGAAGTTGACTGTGGGTACATCTTTAAGACATCCTCCCCCAAATGTGTTTGTTTATAAATGCTGTTTTTAGTGCAATAAAGGTGTTTCGGGAGATTCGGGGGTGGAGATCTGCTTGCTTTGCTGTTTAATAGCAGGAGAGGAATTTTGCCTTGAATTCCAGGGTGGATGGCGGGAGCCTCCAGGATCAGTGATGTGCTCCCCACCCTTTCAGACCCTCCAGGGCTCTCCTGGTTGGGGTGGAGGCAGGGAAGCAGGGCTGCAGCAGGGTGACACTCCGGGGACCTGGGTCTGTGTGGGGCATGGCTCTGGCCCTCCAGGACTAGCATTGCATCTCACAGGTATGGGGACCTAGCGGCTCAGTAACTCACCCAAGGCAGCCTAGCTAATGAGAGTCGAACCCTTGCCCTCAATGCGGCCACCAGGGAGAGGGATGCCAGGGGTGGCCTCTTCCAGGCTCTACCCACTTGGGGACAGAGACTGGACATTTGGGGCCGTCACTGATGGGAGCCCTCAGGATGCCATCAGCTGCCAAAGCAGGAGCGCCCCCACTGATATGCCCCTCATCTCATATGGACTGTCCCCGCTCCCCCAGACAGGAACCCAAAGGAGGCCAGCCGCACCCCTGTCACACAATCTGGGGCTCCCCTGGGCCAGGAGCAGTAGGGGAGCTGGCTCCAGGCTGTTCACACCTGTGCCTTTGCACAGGCTGTTCCCTCTGCTTGGAATGCTTCCCATCCACTAGCTCCTCCACTTTCAGGCTCCAGCTGAGGTGGCACCTCCTCCAGGGAGCCTTCTGAGTCCTCTGTGCTGTGTGTTCCCCATCCCACCTCAGCTCACTTGCTGTCTGGGCTTGTCTGTCTCCAACTCCAGGGCCGGCAAGTCCAGCTGCAACTTTGCCGGCCCCCGGGAGGCCCTCCACCGGTGCATGAATACATGGAAAGCCCTCGCCTGACCTGGTCTCTGGGCTCCTGCAGGGCTGCAGGGGAGCTGGGGGGAGCTGGGAAGCTGGCAGTGGAGGGATTGCTCTCCCCTGTGGAACCGCCCGCTATTTCTAGTGTCTTCCCTCAGTGGAAGGGCTGTTTGGCGAGACATGCAAAGAACTTCTGTCCCGGTGAGGGAGTGAGGGAATGAGGGGAAGTCCTTGAACTGGGGACCACGGGGGCAGGGCCTCCCATCCAGAAGCCTGGGGGTCAGAAATGCAGTGGTGAGGGCAGGAGTGTGGGAGCTCCAGCCAGTGTGGCTGGGAGCTGCGTTTACTCCATTCGACAAGCAGGGAAACTGAGGCCTGGGAAACGCAGTCAGACCAGCTGTGCCTTTGCTGACTCTTCCAGCAGGCGTGTGTGCTTCCTGCTTGGTGCTCTCGGAGTGAGAGGTGGATCAGGCAAAGCTGGAGCCTCAGCTGTGCCCAGGCAACGAGGACTCCAGGTCTCCAAGACAGAGCACTCGGGGGCTTAGGGGAATCAGGACAGAATCAGTTCATCTTTCTGGGGAGGGGGGGCAGAGTTGGGAGGAGGGGGCGTCTGAGCCACAGGCCGGGAGACCTGCAGGAGTCAGCGAGGTGGTTCCAGGAGGGGTGAGGCCCAGCGTCCCAGTCACCCTGTCATCATCAGAGCTGGGCCCCTGCCTGGCTCTGCCAGCACCGTCCTGGTAGAGCTGCTG